ATCTGGGTTTTTCTCAATCTAGTGAAAATTCATACATTAGAATGACAAATACAAGTAATAAACACCATACACCAAATCTGGGTTTTTCTTACCTCTACAAACCTAGGCTCTGGGTTTTCTCAAAAGGCCAAGAAGCTTTGGAATGTAGGCAGTGGTTATGATCGATTCGATAGACGAGAAGAAATAGTGTGTATTTTTTGTTGGGGGTTTCTTGGAAAAATTTTTAATTGTTAATTGTGATGAAACCGAGATCTGGGTTTCAGACAGACCCAGATCTGGGTTTCAAACAAACTCCGTAGAACTATGCAACATACCAATACCAATCACAATTTAGAGTAATACAAGAATGCAATCCTATTCTTGTGATGAAATTAATATGCACGTAAACAAGAACAATCAAACATGCCAATTCCCCAATTATAGAAATCTAACAAATCCCACATTCTCATATCATACTCTTAGTGGCTAGATTTAAAAAATCAAAATAAAAAATTTAAACTTTTCAAATTATAAGATTAGAACGTTTACAATTAAAATCCAGAAAATAGATTTCAAACTTGTTAAGAATATAAAAGAGCAAACTGTTGGAAAACTCATCGCAATATCTGGGTTTGAGAATCCATAGGACCACAAACTGAGAAGGAAATGAAACCACCACCAACGAGAAAAGGAGATCGGAAGGGCTGCCCCCTTTCAGAAGGCAAGGCTCCACGCCCGCAGTGTGGTGAAGGGTTGCTCTCAATCACACAACCCTTGCGTTGTACTGGTCGGACATGAATGAGAAGCCGAGAAACTCTGAGTATAGCCGTGATGTCTACAAGGCGTCTAACTCGGGTATTACCCCACAAAAACCCAAAAAATAAACACCCCAAGAAACACCCTTTCGCTCACCCTTCCAGCTACAAACTCCAAAGACACAATCAATTTCATAACTGAAAACCCATAAGCTTTCTATGCTGCATCTGCTAAAGGAAGCTGGCTTTCCTTGAGATTTTTGTGTGAGGAAAGAAGAAAGGGGAGGGGGAAGATATATAAATAACAGGGGGTGTGAAGGAGAAGGAAGACTAGAGGGTGGTGTGGTCCTGTGGATGCTTTTCTAGGCATGTACCCCCAAATTCACAAGTCACAGCATCTGGGTTTGAGAAAAACCCAGATCTGGGCTTGAGCGAAGAAGAAGAAGGCCGACCGACGATAATAGTAGCATCGTCCACTCTAGCACGTAGGCGTTGTGCTCGTTGTCATCGGCGGCAACGATCATCACATTCACATGCTTCTCGGCCGTCTGTGAAAACCCAGAGCTTGGGTTTGCAAAGATAAAAGAAAAGGAAAGGTAAAGGAGAGAAAATGAAAAAGGAAGAAGAAATATGATGTGGATGAAAAAAAAAAAGATTTATTTTTTAAAATTAAATGAAAATGCCAACTCATAAAAAAAATGCCAACTATGTTTTTTTTTCCATGTCATTAGTTAAGAAAAAAAAAAAGAATTGATTTACTGGCATTTTAACGTGCCACCTGTCATTTAACTAACGAAAAGACCATTTTGGTACCGAAAATGAAAGTTTAAAGATAATTTTGGTACTTTTTAAAGGTGAGGGACAATTTTGGTACTAAAGTGAAAAGTTGAGGGACCAAAATGGTACTTAAACCAAAATATAATTCATCTTTTAAGTTGAGGTATATTAGTTTTTTTCAATAAGAGCTTATTGAAATAACATAGTTTCAAATAATTTTTTTTATTTTTTAGAAATAAGATGGATGGATACTTATTTCATGTGTTGTTATATAATTAATTTTTTATTCAAAAAACTTTATATAATATTGTATATATTTATTTAATAATACATTATAATTATAAATTTATAATTTTACATGATGTTTTAAATATTATTATTGTTAAACTAATTATAAGAACCTATATTTATTCTTCTATCACTAGCTAGAACAAAATAGTATACACACACGAAACTTGGGTTATGTTTTGTTAGGAGTAACACTTATTTTTTAGTCAAACTATAAAAAATAAAAAATAAGGTAAAATCAAATATATTAAGAAAATACAATACTAAAAACATATACAAAAAAATGGTGAAAAACATAATATTATAATATCTTAAATGTCAAAATTTTTTGTGAAATTATTTAAATATTTGTATTAAATTTTTTAGTATATCAATTTATTAAGAGGATTTTAATCTTTTTATTATCATTTATGGTATTTTAATTGTTAAAATATCTTAATCATTTTTCAATCCTAAAAAATCAAAAATATCTTGCCCTACAAGGTTAATTATTAATGCTAAAAATAGTACCAAATATAAAATGAAACTGCATCTAGCCAGAATTAGTAGTTTCATGGTTAAATACACAAAATTGCACATTTCTAAAAAAAAATGTCCTAGTGGAATATATCCCCCAAAACTTGGTTGCACGACTTCATGGAAGTGGATTTAAGTTTTTGAAAATTTTGTTTCTAGTACTCCTCACCATATGGCCATTGAAAAGGAAGCATGATGTCTCCAAAAATGTAGAAATTTGGGATTGTTGTTTTCTTCAACATAGCATGGAATATCATTTGACAAACACAACGGCTTCATAGATAAATAAGCTAGCTAAAAGTGTATTTGCAAAAAATGGAAAAATATAGCCTCCAAAAAGAACAATTCCATGAAGTCCCTTGTTGCTTGACATGGAGACATAAATCAAGCATGCCTCCATAGAAGGCATGTCTTAAAAGCAATGCTATCTCACAGCCTTCCTTAAGGCCGCTTTAACTGCAAGATTATTCACACTAATTGTAGAAATTAAAAACAAAAACTAAATTAAAGCTGATCTCCACCCAAACTTGACTTGAGCAAAGAGATTATTTCCACTTCGATCTACTGCATGACTTATAGACTCAAGGGCAACAAGGCTCAAAAGGTAAGCCATTTATTTTTGTGAGGTGTAAACTATCGTCAATGTTTCGTAGCCAGTATGTGCCTTCATCTAATGCCTTGTGCGTTTGCAAAGATTTCATATTGTTGGCAGAATGTCTCTTGGGTGACATGCTTTTAACTGGCGGCAACATGCCTCCTCTTGGAACAAAGGTTGCAGCATATTTTCTATGATCCCTCCTTTTATTTTCTTTGGCAAACATGTTTGCTTTGTTCTTTGCTGCCTCTTTGCTACTAAAGGTTGCATCTTGCTTCCTTGTGAAAACAAAAGGGATATTTGGAATGGAACTTGGAAGTTCAATAATAAACTCACCAAGGCTAATTGTTTTGCTGTAGACATTAAGCTCCTTAGCTACCTTTGAGTCATTTGACTTGAAAGAAACACGCTTGGCAAACGTCTTTGGAGATGCGATTGCATTAACTAAATTTTTATTTGTCTCTTGAAAGGCTACATTGTGTTTCTTCTTCTTCACCCAAATAGACTTTTGCCTCCCTAGAGGTTGTTGTCTTCGGGAAGCATGCACCTTGGCAACAGCATGCCTTTGACGCTCTTTAGCTTGTTTCTTTTGAAGTCGCCTTCGAAGAGTCCTAAGATTTTGGGTAGGGAACTCTGGGTGTGCCACCAGGTTTGTATGGCAACAATGTCTAAATTGACTTTGTTTATATAGGCAACATTTGCCCATGCCTCCATGCTTGTCTTCAGGATCATGCCCTCTGTGCCTCCACTCAGAGACATGGGTTTGTTGCTTTTGTTCCTTCTTTGGTGTCCAATTGAAGTCTTTAGATTTCGTCTTCCTTCTTCAAGTTGGTAGATAAGGAGGCATGGTGTTTCTTATGCCGCCTCCCATGTTATCCTTGTGGCTGCAAGGAAAATTTGGGAATTTTTTGTGAAAGCCACTTTGAAAAGAATCACTATTCCTTGAATATGGCTTACGGCATGTTGGACAACATGGTGGCCTACATGTCTCTTGAGTGTCCTGTGAAAATGAGTTTGCAAGTTGTCCTGTGAAAATGAGTTTGCAAGTTGTTGAGGTGGACTAGGCTTGCACCCATGCTTTTGTTGTGGCAACATTGATTGGATGCTTGAATTGGCATTAAGCTGCAATGGCACAAGCCTTGCTGCCTCTTTTGTTGTAGCTTTGTGAACTTCATTAACAATAAGGTCTTGCAACCTTTGTTGTTCAATCTAACTAGGTTGTCCCCCAAGACTGGAAATAACTCCCCTCTTTAAACTAACGATTTTAAAAGGATATTTCACCTTCAGCCATTGTCCATAGTTGAACTTGGAAAGGCTTCGACTACTCGAAAAATACGGTCGCTGTGAACACTTCTTAAGTAAGGCAAAAGGAACATGTTCATTAGTCTCAAAAGAAGTAGAAATAGATGAGGTGGATACCTTATCAGATTTACATACTGATGCCAGCCAAAATGTTGGCTTTTGTGTGGCAACATTAGCTTGCTGTTGACCATCATATAGACCTTGATTAAGGGATGGCTGACATATCTACAACTGAGTTGGTTTATGCCTCCTAGGAGTAAGAGGACTCTTACTAGTATTAGTCTTTATAGACTTAGAATGACTTGGAGGCATACTTGTTAAAGTCGCCTCCAAAGCTGCATGGTGTTGCTAACTTTGGGCAGTACACTGCACTTATGATTCATGCCCCCTAAGTAGGCTTATTGAGTTACTCTTTGACCCTAGTGTCGTCTGACCTTCATTTACAATTGGCATCTCTGGCACGTTTTGCAATTTGCAAAACTGCTTCAGAGTTCTTGGAGACATGGCTACATGGCACTTCTTTGAATCCTCCATTAAAACCTCACTTTTGGGTTAAGGAGTTTTAAGTTCTGGAAGATTTCCTTCTAATTTGCATCCTTTCCAACCTTCCTCCCTTCCTCTAAACTCCTCCTCCATTCCTCATGATGCCTTTTAGATTTCTCATCAAACTCAACTATTATTTTTCTTAGAGATCTTGAAAGCTCGCTGCTTGTGGTTGCCTCCTCACTATAGAATGGATTAACATAAAAGGAAGTATGTGATGAAGTCAAGAAGAACTTTGGCAGTCATCAAAGTAAAGACTTACCATGGTGGCACAATCTAGCAGCAGAAGATATGATCAACAAATTTGTGAAAACCCAAGGTGGGTCCCATTGAGCTTGCCAAAAAGAGATTGTTGTGTCTAAAATCTCCCTTTCTGGCCGCGTGATAGATAAGATTACAAAGGCATGCCACTCACTTTGTTGAAAGTGAGAAAGAGAGATTCCTGGTGACCCTCACTACTTCCAAGCGAGGAACTTAGTTGCGAGTTGATGGAAAAGCATCGATTAAATAAATTATGAGATACGCCTTGATAAGACAATTGTTGCAGAAACGAGGGTACATTTCTACATAAAGGTCCATAAATAATTGTCCTAGAAGAACATCGAGGACTTCTCACAACTAGTGCCAAAATATTAGTTTGCTGATCGAAATAAAAGAGAAAAATAAAGGAAAAGAGAAAAAAAAAGAGTACATAGCAGGAAAACTAAATTGCAGAAAGGAAGCATGACATCACCGCGAAAACATGAAAACATAAAAAACAAAAAAAAAACGAAACAAAAAAACAAAATTAAAAAAAAAAAAAAACTAGGAAGATAAATTTTGGGTAAAAGTGCAATAAATTGAATTACAAAAAACTAAATACATCAAGTGAAGATGTTCGCAACGAAATAACAAAAACTAGAGCTAAAACTAATGGTAGCGTAGAGCTAAAGACTTAACTAGAAAAGCTATTTGAGAAAGTTGGATCTAAGCTAAAACCTTGCTTGTAAAACTAAAATGTAGATAGTGATGGGCTAGTTGTGTGAGAGGCTTCTCATTTACTTCATTTCTTCTCTACATACTTATAGCAATAAACACCCCTTGGCAACATGCTTGGAGATCTATGGCAACAATCTTGAAAAACCAACGGCAGCATGATATTTGAAACAAATCAATTAATTTGTTGATGTTGCTAATTATCCTCTTGGAAGTTCACAACAAACGAATGACTTCCCTGTAGTTGTGGAAATAACCACTGAACCTTATCTGGAGAGATTTACACTAATGAAATACATGCCAACATGAATGACACGTGGTACCATTCTATTTTTTGCAAAAATTGGTGTAAACAGAATGTGTTTGAGATTGTAAATTAGAAGTTAGAATTAAGGTCACCAAATGAAGATCAAAGATGAATATAAGAGGTGGACCTTGAGGTTTTAGAAACTGTAAAACTTCAAATTTTGAAGACCCCCTAGCTTCTAATTTGGGTAAGGAGGTCAATGGGGCCCACAGAGCCGAGGAGTCCTTCCCTGTCCCCATCCCCATGAGTGGAGGGGACAGGGATCCCCGCGAGGATTTTTTACAGGAGGCAGATTTTGCCTCCCATCCCCATTCCCCACCAATTAATAACAAAATATATATTTTTTGCATCAAACATAAATAAAAATTATAAAAATAAATTATTTGTATACCGTTGCCCAAATAGAAACCTAGCTTTCCTTGACATTTCTTTGATGCTTCTTCTTCCTAGGATTCAAATCGATCAATAATAATGGCGGAATTCCAAAATATTCTGTTAGGCCGGGAAAACTCTCTGCAAAACAAACAAGATTTTTATATACTTAGAATCTTGGTAC